GCAGCACGCGGGGCCGCAGGGGGATGCTCGGGGAGCCCATCACCCTTCACACATCCCAACCACCCCGCAGCCGCACACGGCACCACCACCATCCCGGGGCTCCCGTTCCAGTCTCATCCTGTCACTCCCACTGCGGGGTGAGGTGGGGGACAGGCAAGGGAGGCTGCTCTGCCGACCCCGCCTGGGCGCCCAGCCGCAACGCGGCCTCAGCGGGACCGCGCAGCCTCCCCGCCTCCCGCCCGCAGGGCCCCGCTGGCAGCCGGGGCCGCTGCTCCATCAGGCAGCCCCAGCAGCCGACAATTACGTGCTGAGTAAATCGATGGGCTATAATTGGACTATTAAGATCTCATTATAGTGCTGGCTCCGAGTGCCACAGCGTGCTGGGCGAGACTGCTCTCTGCAGCCAAGGAAAGAGCCCCGGGCCAGGCAGTGGGTGCTCGGGTCACCCTGCCCCGGCATCCGAGCACCACGGCACAGCAGAGCTGTCCTCACGGAGCAAGGCACAAGGTGCCACTGAGTACCATTGCACCGAGTGTATGTGACTGTAGACATCAGCCACACGAGCCAGGTCCACGTTCTCTGTTCCCCATTCACACACGGCAGGGAAATGCTGCCAGATCGGGGACACGGCGCTTTGCACCGCTCTGCCCTGCGTAAAGGGCCTTGCACAGCGCCGTGCGGAGCAGGGCTCCAGCCCCGGCCCTGCTCTGCTCTCCAGACGATGCACAGATGCAGATGCTCTACAGCACATTAAAGCAGGATAGGTCTGCATGGGCGTGCTCGGTCAGCTAAGCACAAGCTGGTAAAATGCAACTTATGCTCATGGCAGTAATTACTGGGAAAAAGCCCCTCCCTTCCCCAGCACCTTAGTGCTGATTTCACAAAACAGCTCAGTGCACATATGAGCTGGGTGAGTCTGTCGGGCGCCAGTTTGGGCACAGGGGAAGGCAGGGACATGCAACACGCCCCTGGGCACAGGCGCCAGCCGCATCCCGCGGCTCGGGCAGGGCCTTTCCCGGCCCCGCAGGGCCTGTGTGGAAAAGCCCTATGCCCGAAGGCAAACTCTGTGCCGTGGCTGCGCTCCAGCTCCCGCCAGGAGCGGCTCCTGTGCGGGCTGCGCTGCAAAGCCGAGCGGCAGGACTCTGCCTCCGCGGGGCAGAGGATGTTATGGGAACAAGAGGAGCTGGCCGAGGAAAAGACGGGAGGGTGGGCGGGAGACGGAGGGGGAATAAAGCATCTGCCACCCTCCCTGGAGCCTCTTCAGAGGCTGAAACAAGTTAAAAGCGGCAGCCTTAATGGGAGCACAAGTGAAACAACAAGCGCGAGCGCAGGGTGCCTGACGCCACTCCCGCCCCTGCTGCCCCTTTGTTCCTGAAGCCTGCTAGTTGCTGGAGAGGGGGACAGCAGGACGCCACAGCCTCGGCGGTGGCACCCAGTGCCCCTGGGCCCTGGCCCAGCACACGCGCTTGCAGGGCGCAGCACAGCATGCACGCTCACAGGGCACCGCACAGGGTGCATGCTTACAGGACACTGCACAGCATGCATGCTCACCAGGCGCAGCACAGCACGCACGCTTGCAGGGCACAGCACAGGGTGCACCCAGAGGGAGCCAGCTCCACCAGTGCCTGCATGTAGCCCTCGCTGTCGGCCAATGCATCTCACCTGGGTGAGGACTCGTCCCTGCCAGTAAGTGCCTTGATGGGACACCAGGTATTAAACTGCATCCAAACTGCCCTTTCTGAGTCACAGGCAGTGCCCTGCCTGCTCTGCCAGAGTGGCTGGAAGCTGAGGTGCCTCAAGGACCCAGACGGTGTCTCAGTTGCATCTCCCGAGGCAGGGTCTGATGCCTCTCTCCATCTCTACTTTCCATGGACGCAGTCCCCTCTGCCCCAGTACCCAGTGATCTTGTTCTTCTCCCTCCTTTCATGCTTTGGCTTCTGCCTCACCCTTTACTAGTAGGAAATCCCCACAAAACCTTCCACCCAAGCGTTTCCAGCACCGTTTCCGATTTATCCTGCAGCCCACACAGCCCCGTCGGGATGGCACCATCCTGCCAAGTGCCAGCACTGTCGAGCAAGGCCACGAGCCGCCTCCTGCCCACGGCTCCACGCCAGCCCACACAGAGCCAGACCCGAGCTCCTGCAGGCTGTGGGAGCGCAGTGCTGGGACTCGAGACCTGCGGCGTGCTGCTCACCCGCTGCGCAAGGAAACAGCCAAGTCTCCGCGCTTCACCCAGCCCCGGAGCCTGTGACGGCAAAGGGTGTGTGGGGAGGTGCATTGGCCTCGTGTCTGCACCAGTTAACCCCGACAATATGAGAAAGGAGACGCGTGTCCTACATTGGCTTCCCGGCACCCTCCTTT